CAGCAAGACCATCACCAGTAGTATGATCGGCGTGTTTCGCGAGGACTCCAAAACCAGAGAGGAATTCCTTTCATTGATTAGACACTAAGTCCTGTACTTATGGTTTCATTTCAAGAATCAAATGTTGCAAATAATTAAAACGATTCATTTTCACGACATTATTAATCAATTCATTAGGAAATTAGTTATTAATGTTTTAATGTTACAGTTATTTGGAAATGTTTTGTCGAAATATTATAATCAATGAATACATGGATTCAGAGTAAAGCATATCTCTATAAATTAACTTATAATCCAAATATAATGTCAATTCTCTGTAAATAAAAGTTAGAATCAATAATAAAATGATTTCAAAAATTACTGCCAAAAACTTTACCATTACTTTATAACACCAGATAAGCACTTTTATAACATTCAGACTTTTTAATTTATTCTTCTGACCTAGCTTACTTTCTAATAGGATGTCTCTAAGATATTTTAAATGTATATAGTAATTATACTATACATTAATCAGTGTTATTGTTTATTAATCTTGGTTAATCCATTCATTTATAGAAATTAATCTTCCATTTAGAGAAATTCATTTATTATTAAAATCTGTAAATCAAAGTTACATTAATTGTGTCTTTAAAATATGGTGTTTAATATATCTGTAATTGTAATCAATTCAAGTAATAAGTGAAGTTAGCATTCTGTTCATACAAATTTAACAATACAAACTTTTTGTTTTCAATTATATAAGAGTTTAGACTATATTTCTCACATTTTAATTGAATTGATATACACTTTAATGGGTTTGAAAAATCAATTTTATTTCTAAAATCAATTACAGATATATAAGGTTGTGATGACTGGAGATCTGGAGAGAGCAGAGAGTGTCTGAATGGAGCACTTGTCACACACACGGAGTGGTTGTGAGGAAAGCCAATAGAAATTCTTCGTATAACTAACGGATGAAGTGATAAAAATTGAGCCCAAAATCTATTGTCGACAAGTTTTCTTCAAATCATAGATACATTTGGATGAAAAGGTCGTTTCATTGCTTACATAAGACATGAATACCAAATCCAAAATTCTTATGTCCACCGACTCTGAGGGCTACGACGAGATTGTGGCCAAAGAAGACCCACAACGAGAGGCTGTTGTGCTCAGACTGAAGAAGGTTTTCAAAGAACTATTGGAGACCATCGGCGAAGACACCGAAAGACAAGGACTTAAGAGGACTCCTGAACGGGCGGCCAAAGCGCTCTGGTATTTCACTCATGGATATCACGTTCATCTCAATGGTTTGTTAAACAGAATTTTAATTTTTAAGAATATTCTTTATATAAATTTATAATATATTATCAATCCTTTGATACAATACCGAACCAATTCTATATATTCTATACATTCAGCAACAAGTGATAGGTTTCTCAAAAATCAATAGATTAAGTGCAAAGCTTTTGAACAATTTATTGTATTTCATAAGATATTGCGAATGAAATAAATGAAAACAATTACATGATTCATATAATAATTTTATTAAAAAATAAAATCATTAATACAGTACATTACGGTAATTCATATG